AAAGAGGATAGAGGGAAATAATGCAAATGAACCAGTAGCACGCACGTCACGCGTGTGTGAGGATGACAGTAAGAGACGCAACTTGTCATATGTACAGAGCGAACGTTAGCTCTGACAATGAAAGCAATTTGTAGTGCGTCGCAATTGCTGTGCCGCACTTCAACAATGATTTATGTCGGGTAGAAAAGCCGTTGCTTGACAAGTCTCGCAGGATGGTGAGGGTAAAACTACAAGTATAAAAAGATAGGTGAGCTGGCTGTTTGAGCGTTTACCTAGCAGATACGCTGCTGAATAATAGTACCGTAAGTGGGGTGTGAAGGTGAATGACGAGACAAAGTGAGGACAGTTATAGTTGTACTCCATGAGAAAAGTAAAAAGTTAAAACGAGAATACTCACTTCTGTACCGCATCCTCAGGTTTATGCAATATGTTAAGCCGGTATGGAGGGATAAGTAATGTATTCCAAAGTTGCATAGTTTAGGCAACGAAGTGATGGGGGCCAAGGGCAACATCCAATCGCTTTGTGAAAATATCCAAGGTGGGGGAGGAAACAACGAAGTTTGGGATAGAGTTCCAAGGTTGGCAAATCGGAAGAGAAACATCATTCTGCCAGCATTCCAGGCGGCTAAACTGTGCATTCAATTTCAGGGTTACCTCTGAGATTGGTGTTATGACTGAGTTTCAGCAAGTGATGGCATACGCGATTAGGATCACACAATATTTTGTAGACTAATATGAGATCGCGGCGCAGCGTTCGGTAGCGGCCACTGGAAACTCCCAGTGAGTTCAGCATTTGATGGTAGGACAGATTAGGTAGGTCCTTGACGTTCTTTATGTCCCTGCGTTGTGGTTTCTCTAGTACTTCTAAGTCGTGTTTCAATCAAGGTTGCTAAGCTTGGATGGCGTATTCCACATGAGGACGCACGTTAGAGTTGTGCATCATGGGGAAGATGGATGGGTTGAATCTTCCGAATGTTCTCCGCAACAAGCCGACCTGCTGGTTTGCTCTCTTCGTAGCCGCCTCTGACTGTTTTAACAGTTAAGGTCACTTTGAATGAGCACATCAAGGTCGCGTTCTTGTGAAGCTGTTTGCAATACATGTGACCCAAGCCTGTATACGTGGTCATGTTTATGACGCATTTAAACAGCGTGACATTTTTCCACATTGAACGGTAGGATATTCAGAACTGACCAGTTTAAAATGGTGTTGAGGTCACGCTCGAGCCTTTCGTGGTCGTTCGTTTCTTGGATCGCTCGACATAACTTGATATCATTCGCGAAGAATAGGAAATCGGAAGTCATTTCCTTCGCCATATCGCTTATAAAAATCAAGAATAGACGGGGCCCGAGCACCGTTTCTTGTGTTACACCACACTCCACCTCAATTGCATCGAATAGGGATTCTCGTACTCTCACTTCCAGCCGACTTTCGTGAAGTAAATTGCTTATCCAACACAGAAGTGGGTCACCAACTCCATAGAGCAGAAGTTTATGGTGGAGGATTCGGTGGTTTAAGCGATCAAACGCTTTTGAGAACTCCAAGTAAATGACATCAACTTCAGATCCACCATCAACTGCTTCAGTCCAGCTGTTGCGTGCAATTGACAGGTTCGTAGTGCATGAGCGATTTTGTCAGAAGCCATGTTGCTCTGGTACTATCACCTTTTGATTTTCTAAATATTGCATGAGTGCATCAGTGTTGATAGACTCCATAACCTTGGAAAGCACAGGGCGTAGCGTTACAAGCCGGTAATTATTTTGGTCAGTGCGACTACCTCCTTTACGAATGTGCGTGATGACTCCTCGCTTCCACATTGTTGGAATATGGTTCTCCTCCATTTAGCGCTGATAGAATATAGCCAGAGGTTCCGCCAGATCACTGGATGCTGCATGAAAAACCTTCGGTCGAATGTTATCGGCACCAGGAGAGATGTGGATACGCAGGGACAACAGTTTCTTTGACACACTTTCTGCAGTGAAACTAATATTGGATAAGGCTGATAGTGGGACAATAGAAACAGGGATAACCGTTGGGTCCTTTACTCTCTGGAACGTTTTTGAATACTGGAACCGTTGTTGACCGCGTGCACCCGTCAGTCGTGATCAGTGCTGAAATTCCGCGTTGCACCTTACGAAGGCCATTGACATGGCTGGATAAGAGTTTGCGGTTCGTGCAGAATCTCTTCATTAACTCCTGCTGATACATTACCTTGTTCGTGAGGACATATTAGTACACCAGCAGA